TTCTGAGATGAGGTATTATGTACATTATTTACATTATTCGGACTATTATCCTCATCTTTGTCGTCATATTTATCACAACGTTTCGGCCATTCAGTATCTGTCTATATTTCTGAGATGAGGTATTATGTACATTATTTACATTATTCGGACTATTATCCTCATCTTTGTCGTCATATTTATCACAACGTTTCGGCCCTTCAGTATCTGTCTATATTTCTGAGATGTGGTATTATGTACACTTTTACATTATTCAGACTGTTGTCCCATTCAACGTTTCGGCGCTTCATCTGTCTATATTTCTGAGATGATGTATTATGTACATTATTTACATTATTCGAACTGTTGTCCTCATCTTTGTCGCCATATTTATTACAACGTTTCGGCCCTTCAGTATCTGTCTATATTTCTGAGATGAGATATTATGTACACTATTTACATTATTCGAACTGTTGTCCCATATTTTTATCTTTCGTTCGCCATCTTTATATTTCTGATGAATGTTTTACATTATTCGAACTGTTGTACGCCCCGTCGCCATTTTTCAGATTTGTTTAAATCTGTCATATTTGAGATGAACCTATTTACTTTTCGAACTTTGCTCACTTTGTCGGCAGATTTATTATAAATGTTCTAGTTCCACGATTGTTTAAATGTCTTTATGGATGTTCTAGTTCCACGTCAGTCATCTGGATGTCTTAATTTCCCTCTCCCAAGTTCTCCACCGCCTTAACCAGGTATTGAACTCAAAGTCTTTGGATCCTGTCACTGGATCTAACTAACGCCTTTATCCACTGTGCCATATCTCCTTGAGGAAATGCATTGATGGTAATTTTTTTTGCTAGTAAATTTATTTATTTTTATTTTTCCAAAAGTGTATTGCTTGAACTTGTTTTTTTTTTTTTTTTTTTTTTTGTTTTTTTTTTTTTCGTTTTGTTTTTTTCATAAGTTAATTGCCGGTAATGTTTTTTTCAAAATTTAATTACTAGGAATTTTTTTACTATGATAATGCATTGTTGGTATGTTCACTATAAAAATGTATTTTTATACATTCATAATTTATGCGAGTCAACTATTAACCCATATTTGCGACCCTAACAGGTGCTACCACCTAAGGTCAGGGTGGACGTGGGATCAGTAGCAATTAAGTGGTGATTCCACGCACCTCAAAATTACCAATCTTGCTACCGGATATAGTTTATCGTCATACCCAGGAATTAATTTACATTAAAGTGGCCTACCAATGCGGTCAACAACAATTAAGAGGTGGTCCCGCGCTCCGAACCTCCAATCTCCCGATCAGAAGCCTTCCTGACGGATGTAATGTATCGTCAGATCCTGGACTAAGACTACCAATGCGGTCAACAGCAATAAAGGGTTCCTTTCACGCGTCTCAAAATCGCCAACTCCCGACCAGAGGACTTACAACCGGGTTTAGTTTATCGTCATACTCAGGACGAATATTTTTTTTTTTCTTGTGCTCAGTGATACATTTTGAGATATATCATTGGCGAGACCGACCAGAAAGAGTTTTTATTTATTTTTTTTTTTTCCGCAATGTCCTACTTATACTGCAATCACAAAGATGGCGATCGGTGTGCTGAGTGAAAAATGGGGGACTCTGAGATCCGCTTTACACGGGATTCAGAAACGTAAACTTTAGATCCGGTTTATGCTAGAGCCCAAAACAGATCTTGGTTATGTTCATAAACGAATCTGCAAACCCCCATTATACAAAAACCTTTTGACTGGGGCGGGGGGTTGTTGCTTCTCGAGAGAGGATGCAGCCGGTGTATTCTAAGCCCATCCAAGCGGCAAATTAAGAGACTGAGAAAATTTGATGTCAAAAATATTGTAAAAAACATATATATATATATATATGTGTCTGTGTTTGTGTGTGTATGTGTGTGTGTATCACATCTATCCAACTAAATATGTTAGCTCTATCACTGATATTGAGCGCTTTCCAATAAGTACCGCGCATATATAATATATAAATAGTATATATAATAAATTGCATATATATATATATATATATATATATTATAAATTAATTGATTTAAAATTTGTTTTTTTCCGCTACACAGTTCTAACCATGTTTCAAAAATAGAAGCTAAAAGGCCCGAATTTAATTTTGCAATTAAATTAAAAGCATTAGTTCCATTTCATCCTCAAGCAAATTTTGGAGTAACTTTTAAAAATTACCGGGTTTTAAAGACACAGCTAAAATCACGTTTCCATGGTTACAGAATATTCTACTTGAATTAGACAAGGGATGTCTAGATTTTCCTTATGTCAGTATCATTGTATCAGTTATTAGCTACAATTTGGTAAGGGGTAGGGATGTACATTCACATTTCCCATATATATATATATTTATATACATACGCATTTCATATATATATATGTGTGTGTGTGTGTGTGTGTGTGTGTAGAAAATAACTTTCCGAAGTTAATGACAATTTTATTAAGAAAAGAATGATTTCTTTACTATAGGTGAAGCTAAATAATATTAGAAAAAGTTTTTTAAAAAGGAAGAATGAGGAAAAAAAATTTAAAAAAATGAATAGAAGAGAATGATTAAACAGAAAAAAAAGAAGAAAATTAGGTGTGGGGGGGATGAAAGAAGGAAAGTAATCCTGAATGCAAAACGATTTGCTTCCATTTCGTGTTTTACCGTCAGCATCATATCAAGCGTTGAGTGGTAATTACCATTGGCGGGAACGTCACAGATGTTGGACGTTAATTGCGACATTCGTGTGAAGTTCAGTGTAGCTTTCCAAAAAAAAAAAAATGAATAAACGATTGAAAATAAAATGAAAATAAGTATCAGGCTCTACAAGTTTGTTGTGAATGAATTCTATCAGCAAAACATCGGGAAAGGTAGAACTCAAATTGCAGTAATTTCTGGCTTTTTTTTTTTTTTTTGTGGGGGCGAGGAGCAATTCTCTCGTTTATCTTGAGGAGCTCTAAAACATTCAAATACGATTTACGATTAGATAATAGCGTTTGACGATATTCTGACAGTCTGAACTATTAGGTTGGTGCAAAAATAATGACGTAATAATGTCGTTTTTGACGTTAAAAAATACGTAAAAAACGACATTATTACGTCATTATTTTTGCACCAACCTAATAGTTCAATGCTTAATTCTTTTGAATAAAATGTATCCCCTTTCTTAGTTGCTAAATCGGAGCCCAAAGCGACACAAATATGCTAAACCAGTGCTTCCCAACCACTTTTGAGCCATGCTCCACTTCGGTATTTCTAAAATTTAATGTGGAGAACCCATCGCGTGTACCTGGGTTATTACCCGGAACCAACGTTATGCTGACCCTCCCTACTATTTCTACTGACCCTACCTCTTTAGTGCAATGAGAGAGGTACAGTCACAGGGTTGGAATCTCCGGGGCAAAGCATCTCTCATCTGTATTTTTCTTGTTTGTTTGTTTAGCGGCCTTATGGTTCATTTAATGCCGAAATTTAAGTTAGGAACAAAAATGTATTGATGGTAATTTTTTTTTTTTCAAAAATATATTCCCCCCGCCCTGTAATATTTAATTCTTACGTATTCAAATTTTTTACTGCAATTCACGTGAAGCTTAAAACAAGCCTCCAAAGACAATGGCGTCCATGAAAGAGAAAAAATTAAAAAAAACACAAAAAGATAGTTATACAGTGTAACCCGGATATAAGAGAGTTGTCGGGGCCGGAGAAGAAGTCTCTTATATCCGGGTTTGGTCTATTTTATATACATTAACACAGGCTTTAATTTGGGACCAGAGAAAATCTCTCTTATATCCGGGTTTGGTCTATTTTATATGCATTAACACAGGCTCTAATTTGGGACCAGAGAAAATCTCTCTTATATCCGGGTTTGGTCTATTTTATATACATTAACACAGGCTCTAATTTGGGACCAGAGAAAATCTCTCTTATATCCAGGTTTGGTCTATTTTATATACATTAACACAGGCTCTAATTTGGGACCAGAGAAAATCTCTCTTATATCCGGGTTACACTACAATTTTTATTAGCACATTTAGAGAGAACATATTAAAGAAGTATTTTAAATTATACAGTGTAACCCGGATATAAGAGAGTTGTCGGGACCGGACAAGAAGTCTCTTATATCTATGTGCAAAGGTTCGTCTCACTGACCATGATAGCTTTCAACAAAAAATGAAGACAGTTCTTTTTCAAAACTCTCTAGTTAGGAAGTAGCAACAATACGATTTCTCATTTAACAGTGGGATCCTTCCTTCACCACGAGAGCTGGGCTGCTATCTTACTAAACTTCAGGTAATGAATATTATATACGCATATAAAAGAAGCCGCAAATTTGATGGCGATCAATCTTATTGTTTTTTCCCTTTGGAATTATGGGATGCCACTCTATTCGTTAAAACATGGCTTCGAAATAAGTCACAAAAAGCTGAAAAGACTATCATGACAATCAAGTAGTTATTTGAATATTTTTTTAAATGAAAGATCGTGAATAAAAATTTTAAAGCATTTCTTTTAATTATTTTTCCTTTCAAAATGATTACCTGAAATGTAATGCAGATTAAGTTTTTTATATTTTTGAATAAATACAAGAAACATTTGCTTTATTCCTAAATTATATCTCTATAGTAAAATATAGACAATGGAAAAATGAGGGAATCTGTGGCTATTGAGACCTGTTGTTGAGAGAACACTTTCTTATTTTTTTTTAATCCCACCACTGTCGCATCCCATACAAAGATTTTATAAATTTCAACATACAGTGCCGCTCTCTGCTCTAACGCCGAATATTTCCTTATCAAAAAAGGGTTAATATTCGCATTCAAGCGAGACATCCAGCACTAATAATGTCTTTTTTTATTATAAATACTGTTGTAGCATAGCTACGGACGATACTGGGTATGTTCCTAACGAATCTTATATGTGTTGTTCTTGTCCTAAGTATTATCGTTCATTATCAACCATCGTGCGATTATTCTGTTCAGTAACCTTCCCAATGTTACAACACTATCGAGATTTTGTAAATAATCTATCTATCTATCTATCTATCTATCTATCTATCTGTCTATCTAACCACATCACTTTTGTATGGGACCTTCCTACACAGAAATTAAGACAGTTATTAGTTTTTTCTAGTTTTAAATGAGGTTGTAGCCACAACAAAAATGTTCAGCTACTGTTTCTGTTTCTATTTCTATCTATCTATCTATCTATCTATCTATCTATCTATCTATTCTAGTATACCTACGGAGGATAATGGGTATGTCTCCATTCACATAAATACAGTAGTAAATACTGTATGTTGATCTGCAATTGGCGATTCCCTTGACTAACTTCTAGCAGTTGACTACATCTTCAACACGCCGCTGGCGAATCTTATATGCGTTGCTCTTGTCCTAAGTATTATCGTTCATTACAACCTTTGTATGATTATTCTATTCAGTAAATTTTGTAAATAATCTATCTATCTATCTATCTGTTGTAGCATATCTACGGACGATAATGGGTATGTCACCATGCATATAAATACAGTAGTAAATACTGTATGTTGGTCTGCAGTTGGAGATTCATTGTTGAATTCACTAGCAGTTGACGACTTCTTCTACGCGCCGCTAGCGAATCTTCTATGTGTTGTTCTTGTCCTATGTATTATCGTTCATTACCAACCTTCGTGTGATTATTTTATTCAGTAACCTTACCTAGGTTACAAATACATTGATGGAAATGTAAGCCATTACATTACTTTTCGCCAGTTCCTGCCTTGGTCCTGAACACGAAACGAGATGAATGACAATGAGGATTCAACGCTATTTTCAACATTGATCGGCCGTTGAGTTGATAATTGCATCTTTTCCGTATCGAAACACTTACCTTAAGAAATCCTGCCCATCATTTTACGTTCTGATTTCTTAGTTTCGTCTCTTCAGTTTTAATTTGCATTCGTTTATTACAGCCTCATCATATATTTTGACATATCTGCCGTTTTGCATCCATCGATTTAGCTCAGTTTTTTTATCAACGTCAGTTCATATCATTGGCTATATATCTAATCATCGATCTCAGTCTATTCTTATATCTATCTATCTATCTATCTATCTATCTATCTATCTATCTATCTATCAATCTCTGTTCAAATCTATCTATCTCATTCTCTTCCATATCTATCTATCTATCTCATTATGTTTCTTGTATATCTTCTATATCTGTTCAAGTCTATCTATCTATCTATCTATCTATCTATCTATCTATCTATCTATCTCATTCTGTTCATTATCTATCTATCTATCTATCTATCTATTTATCTATCTATCTCATTCTCTTTCTTACCTATCTATCAATCTATCTATCATTCTCAGCCTCTCTTCATGTCTGTCTATCTCTTTATCTATCTATCTCTCTTTCTCTCTCTCTCTCTCTCTCTCTATATATATATATATATATATATATATATATATATATATATGAAGAAATATAGTCTTAAGGTGTGCTAAATTTATGGGATAAAGTGCTCAATATCAGAGATAGAGCGTGTGTAAATATAAAAGTGAACATAGAAGTCAACACTTAGAGGCGACAGTCTGTTTCATGCTAGATGTAATCGTGGTCTATGTTCACTTATATATATATATATATATATATATATATATATATATATATATACAGGTGGTAATAAAATCACTATACAGTAAAAAAAAAAGCAAAGCATTGTTGAAACAGGTGTCTTTCAGTTCCTACAGTATTGGCAATTAGTTTACTATTGTTTATTGGTATTAACCAGAATTAACCAGAAGTATTTTAATAATGGGCCGTTGATTAATTGCCTTGTCTTAATTGCTATTGGAAATAACTCTATAATGATTTTTTGCCACCTATATATATATATATATATATATATATATATATATATATATATATATATATATATATATATATATATATATATATATATATATATATATATATATATATATATATATATATATATATCGTTGACAGGCTGTTTCAATCTGTTCATTATTTTATGTATCAAACAGTCTCTTACTGTTTCAGTCTATCTCAATTTCTATCTATTTATTTAAGTGGACACATATCAATCTTTGTATCTATCAAAGTGTATTAATATTTATCTCGCTGGTTGGCTGATCCACTCTGTTCATCCACTTATGTATCTGTCAGTCTGTTTCTATTTATCTCAATTTCTATCTATCTATCTATCTACTTCAGCCTGTTCATTATCTATCTATCTATCTATCTTTCTATCTACTTCAGTCTGTTCATTATCTATCTATCTATCTATCTATATCAGTCCATTCAGATATCTATCTACTTCAGTCTGTTCACTATCTATCTATCTATCTATCTATCTATCTATCTATCTATCTATCTATCTATCTATCTCATATCTATCTATCTCTATCTATCTATATATCTATCTATGTAAATCATCCTCCGTTTATATCTATCTATCTATCTATCTATCTATCTATCTATCTATCTATCTATCTATCTATGCCTCAGTCTATGCATATATATATCTATGTCTGTTGATATCTCTCTCTCTCTCTCTTTTTTTCTTCTCACTCTACCTATCTATCTCTATGTCTAAGTGTACTCATATCTATCTATGTCAGTTTGGTCATTATCTATCTATCTATCTATCTATCTATCTATCTATCTATCTGTCTGTCTGTCTCAGTTTCGTCCTTATCTATCTATCTAGCTAGCTATCTAGCTATGTAAATCAGCCTTTGTTCATATCTATCTATGCATCAGTCGATGTATATCTGTCTATCTATGTCTATTCATCTCTTTCTCTCTCTCTCTCTCTCTCTCTCATCACTCTCATTCTATCTATATCTATCTCAGTTCTCAGTTTGGTTTGGTATCTATCTATCTATCTATCTATCTATCTATCCGTCGCTCGCAAGCCTGCATTCATATCCTATACATTCTGTATGCTACTATGAGCGTGCATCTGCCTCATCATTCTCTCTTTCTAAAATATAATTCGTTTTTATTAAAACCCCCCGATGTTCAAAAACATTTCCATGGCAAAAATTACATTTTGCCTCCCGAACTTAATTGCACCTTGTCAGGTAACTCTCAATTTTCTTGGCCGCTTATTTGCATCAATTTGTCTATCTGTAGGCCAGGGCGAAATAAAATGATCGATCAATAA